AAAAAAACCGCAGAAGAATCAATTACTACGTTCAAGTGATGAAGGAATGCTAGACATTTGGATTTCCTATCGTGATTCGGTCACGCTCTGTGGGCAAAGAGCAAAACGAACACCCTGGGACCAATTTATATACTGCACTGTATATATATATATATATATTGTCCCCAGCAGCCTTTTCAAGCAACACCTGAACTGGATCGTTGCTCAGTCGACGATCGGCGGTTGAGTCGGGTGGACGACACGACCGAGTCACCCGACCAAGTTGGTCGTAATTATTCCGGTGGTAATTATTTTGTCGCTGCTGTCGGTGCGTGACAATCGACGATTTCTCGGTTCCATGAACGAGAAGGAAAGGCGAAAAATGCTGGTCGTCGTCGTCATCATCATCACACTCCAGCGCGCGTCGGGTTCGCTGCCCCGTTTCAGCTTCATGCCACGCAGACAAAATGTCTTCCCGGGTGAAATTGAACTGAGAAAGACGAGGAAAGGAAAACAAAGTTGACGAGTGTGTGTTTTGCTTCCCCCTATACTGGGGTTTCTAGATCGATTCATATTCTCTTGATGACAGACGAGATTTAGCGCGCTTCAGTGCTTGTACCCAGCGCATTGTTAATTACGGCAGTCATGCACAAAATCTACATTCGACTTGATTAATACCACGCAAACATTTTCCTCGGGTGAAATCGAAAAAAAAAATTGATGAGCATGTGCTTTCTTAAACTTTGTTTTTCCTGTTGGGTTTTTGTACCGATTTGTCTTCTCTTTATGACAGCCGAGATTTAGCTTCAGTGCTCACCAACTAAGTTAATTACGGCAGTCCTGCACAAAATTTGCATTCGAGTTCAGACCATCGCGGAACGGGTTTTTCTCTCAACTAAGCAGGAAGAAATTTTTTTAATTTCAGTTTTTCAATGAGCTTTCAGACAGTTTAATATTTTTGCTTGTAATGAAAACAGTTACATTTTCCTCAGTGCCTTACCCAGTATTGCAATTTTATTACTGAAGTCTGGGACACAATTTTGATTGGAAACTTTCAGTCTCAGAGCAACGCCTGTGTCGAAAGGTGGCTGTGAAACAAAGAACAATTTTTCTAGCGTTGTAGTTATAAATTCTCGTCACGAATGAAAATGTGCAATCTCTTCTTGCGTGAAGAGGGTGCAAATTTCCGCGCAAATGTGTCAACCATTTACCGCAGTGAAAATTTTCGGAGCTTTTGTCCCAGAAATGTAGATCATGCAATTCAATCTATGCACTGGCATTTCTCTAACGTTTTACGCAATCAAGGCTCGATAAATTGTTGATTCATTGTTTCTTTATTGGAGTTTCATGAAATTATACAATATGGTACAGAAATGGTGTGACATAATGACGAAACATCTGTACATTTTGAGTCCCCGTGCTTTTTAAGAATGTTAGAAGCATCAATAATTCAAATTTTACTCGATTGCGAAACATTTTAAATTGGTCTTCGAAAAAAATTTAACGTTTTGCATCGGTTCATTTGCGTCGCGCATTTAATCAATTGCAGCGGTCATCCTCGGGCTCTCGGATCAGTTTTCTTGCACATCAGTACGTGGATAACGAGTGATTGGAAGAATGTTTTGATGACTGTAGAAACAAGACCATAAAAGAAAATAAATGAAACGTCATTCCCCATCAGATTCCAGGTACCTCATTATATTAGTATGCTCGGTACTGCGATGGCTGCTTCGAGTGGTCGTCATACTCGCCTCTTCTTCACTTCAGCGGCAATTTTTGCTGTCAACGTCGTACTGACATCGGGTGAGACTTTCTAAAAAATTGAGCTTAGAAACTGGGAAAGTAGACTCTTATCAGTCTTATGATGAATAAAGTTTGAGCAGACAAAAATTATTAATCTTTGGTTCTGTTCATTTAAAATAAAATCAGTATTTTGTGTTGACAGCATGCAGAGTTCGTCTTTTAAACGGTTGGAAAAATGAGCGAGGGACCGAAAATTGAATAATTGCGGTAACTCAGGAAATAAGTGGTCCCACTGTTATAATTTTTAATTTATTTTTCCAAATTTGAAGTGAAACTTGTGAAGAAAATGCAATCTTATTCAATGATTCTACCAATAAGCCAAAACATATGAAAACGTTCCCAACACATTCTTGGAATAGAGTGCCTACAATTATTTTTCCTGTATTTTAAAAACAAGGATTGCAAGGGAGCAACGTTGCAGATACCGGATCGGTGCTGACGAGACGGGTCAGGATTCAGCGTCGACTAGACCCCGGGGCCAAATTCGGGAAGTTCGGTGCCCCCCGAGGCTCGCCCAGTTGCCCGGCGTCGACGCAATGTTCTCCGATTAGCGCCTGCGTCCAGCCACTGGCTTTGTCGGCTTTCGAAGAACCCATGCGCTGCCAAATGTACCCCGTCTAAGTGCGCCATTCTTTTCAACTGCACCTTCGACCGGGTGCAATGAACTAGAACTATGAAAAGGAGTTTTAAAATGGATGCTGCTTCTAGACCTAAATAAATAATAAAATAATTTCCTGGTCCATTTTAAATCGCTGTACAGTGCAGTGCCGTACTGTAAGCTGCATATTAATGGAAACATTACCTTTGGAATCTGCTGTGATTTCTGAACGGTCCTCCTTTAAATCGGGATCCGCCTGGACGAGTTTATTCGTTCCCCCAAGCTTCCCCTCAACAAAATAAAAATGAAAGTAAAATTGTAATCAACGAAACGACGACGAATACAAGTACAGAATCAATGGGTATATACAGGGTGGGCCAGAAAATAAACAAGCCCATAAAAAACCACCCCGGAAAAATCCAGCAGGGAACACAATAACCATCATGTTCCATGCGCATGCACACAAGAACCCAGGACCCAGAAAATCACGCCACCAGACATTCAGACAACCACCCAATCAGTTCACTGAACATTCCTTGGAAGATGAACTGGAAAAAACGTGCCTGGGTGGACAAAGCAATTCCTAAAAATCCCGTCATCGTCCAGAGAGAAAAAAAAAAAGTCCATTCCTGTGGTGACTTTCGAGGCCTTTCCTTGGTGACTATGTTTGGTCCAGAAAATGTTTGGTGTCTGCGGGGTGCAGAGGGCACGGGTATGGGGAATTTGCATTAGAGTTTCCCTCACAGCTNCATGCGCATGCACACAAGAACCCAGGACCCAGAAAATCACGCCACCAGACATTCAGACAACCACCCAATCAGTTCACTGAACATTCCTTGGAAGATGAACTGGAAAAAACGTGCCTGGGTGGACAAAGCAATTCCTAAAAATCCCGTCATCGTCCAGAGAGAAAAAAAAAAAGTCCATTCCTGTGGTGACTTTCGAGGCCTTTCCTTGGTGACTATGTTTGGTCCAGAAAATGTTTGGTGTCTGCGGGGTGCAGAGGGCACGGGTATGGGGAATTTGCATTAGAGTTTCCCTCACAGCTCTTGTTCTCCAGGGCTGTTTTTATGGATAAGTGGGGTACAGGAATTTAACCAGCAAATCCATGATACCTTCCAGTGTGCACACATCCTCAAAATTTACAACAAAAGGTAAGAGTGAGAGAACAAAGTTAATGAGTGGGATATTTCACTGCTCCCAGTGCTCCCAGTGAGGAAAAAATTTTTTTTCTCTCTGAACCATGGCAGGATTTTTAGGTAGTACTTTGTCCAGCGAGGCGTGATTTTTCTGGCTCATCTTCCAATCAATGTTCAGTGAGCTGATTGGGTGGTTGTCTGGTGGTGTCATTTCCTGTGTCCTGGGTTTTTGTGTGCATGCCCATGATGATTTTTGTGTTTCCTGCTGGTTTTTGCGTGGGTGTGTTTTTATGGACTTATTTATTTTCTTGCCTGCATTCATCTTGGATTTTGTTTCTGTTCCAATGATGTGGGTATTCCTAATTTTAAGGTAATTTTTGGGAGGGTCTGGAGGCAGCAGCAGCTTAGTGCAAAGAGTCACGTGACAAAAATTTTTTGAAAGTTTCCATTCAAACAGTTTTTGTGACTGTTTGATGACAATGAGGACTATAAAACAAAAAAAACATTTGAAGGATAATTGAATAAGCTTTTATAAAGATTTTTTTATTGTTGTAGCTTGATTTTTAACGGTAATTTCCTAATTCAAAAATTGGTTTACTTTTTTGGCCCACCCTGTACGTGTGAATGAACGAATTGAAATATCGACTCAAAACGCATAGAGCCCATTAAAATAGATTGAACTGGTATAGGTCGTCAAGTCAGTATGCTGTAGAGTGTAGACGAATAAATACTGTACAGCACTTGTATGAGCAATGAGCAAAAGACTTCTGCATATGCAGTATATTAATTTCTTAAATGCTGGGATTTACAAGTATTATCACATCATTTTCCTTTTCGAATGTGCAATAATTGTGAAATGTCTTCCGATTCCGAACAAAAATGATACAACGCATTGACTTTCAGTAACAGTTTTCAGTCTTTTCCGAAATGCAGAATTTTGTTAGAGTTACTGGCGATATCGAAAATTGCATTTACATTGGCCGAACATGATAAATGCAACCAAATTTGCCTGAACATTAAAAAAAATATATATATCGCGAAAACAATGTTTAGTTCATCTAGGATTCGAGTACAGTTCTCTTGATATAGTGCGAACAAGAACCACAGAAGAGAAAGCACATCATCACTGACGACGAATCAACCCAACGGTGACGCTCAGTGGTTTTCAAGAGGCTAATAATCGACCGACCGTTCTTTTTTATGTCGTGCTGGCTGACGGTACAATCAAACATTATATCAGCAGTTGTGAAAGAGATATTCTTCTGAAAACTCAAATACAGCAAATCCAATAATTATTCGGACTTCGGTAGATTCATCGTAAATTTGAATTAGTGATTTTTAACGTATATAAACCTCAACAAATTCTGATCGACAAGAAGTTTTCATGAATGTAAAGAAAAATAAAATCATTAACGAATAAGCGAGAGAAGAAAACGGACATTGCAATTCCAAAAAAAATTGAAGAAACGCTCATATATGTGAACATTTGTGCTTTTCTGGAAAAAAATTAATCGTTCATCAAGCGCGGCACTACGAATGAAACATATTGATCAATCACCTCAATGTCATGTTTAAATTTTCGATTATCGGGGTAAAATTCGGGAAAAATTAATAGTTCAGATAATTTATATGTTCTTCATGCAGCTTTAGACAATTAATTACAAATTTATTGACCCGGTGAAGCTTGTTAATGTTGATGAATGCGTTTTTCCTCAATCCGATCGGCTCGTCATGCTTGTTTTTATGATGCATATTTCCGAAATTAGCTGTCAGAGAAGCGCACCAAAACTAACCGTATTTCTAAATTTTTTGAAAGCTTCAACAGTGAATTAAAGTTAAAATTTTCAGATTTTTTAGGAAAACTCAGATTTAGTTTCTTTCTTGAGTTGACTTTTGAAACGGGATTTTTTTCCCAAAGGAGAAAATTGTTATCGTACATCATCCATATGCATTGAATAAGAAGAATTATTTTGTACGAGAAGTTCACACCCGGATTACCATCAGCTGGAAACAATAAAATATATGCTGTTCAATATTCTAGAAATGTCACTTGGATCCACTGGATTATCCAAAAGCTGATGCCGGAGAAGACGGAATCTGTTGTCCGATCGTGAAAACGTGCCCTGAATTGAAAGCTTGCAGACCTCCAACCACTTGCGATTCCCGAGGGGAAGCTTTGCCGAAAAAAGGTCCAAAAAATACTGATTTGGAATTCCTCGTTCAATTAACGGTGAGTCCAATCGCTCCGACGCCTTTCGCCCAAAACCGTGTCGTATTTCACGTGAATTATAATGGGAATGCTTATAATGACGGCGGCTACCAGAAAGACCAGAGAGAGGAATACGTGTATGTATGGGGAGGGAAAAATAAATTGCTCAACACGTTTGATAATGGAAGATTGACTCTTTTTACTCATCTCCAAAAAATCCACTCATGTACTGTATTTTTATATTTTTAGAAATGCGAGCCTCCGAAGAAAGTGTTGGAAGCAAACCCCACGACTTTCGGTTTTTGCTGTTCCACTATGTCGTCAGAGTTCAGCAGAAAAAATCCGGATCCGATGGCAGAGAAACGGCTTGACCGTGACACGTTTGGGTTGAGATCTGCTTCGAAATCCAAGATTATCGACGAAGCAAAAAACATGAGGAGGAAAAAGCCACCAACTGAACAGCACAGAAAAACCTGACCAGCGATGCCCGAAAAACCAACGGTTTATTGAAATGCTGGTGCCGCACCAGGTTATATACAATACCGTATATATGTTGCTGCTAGATTACAATTATGTAATCGAGCAGTTCTGCTACTCGCTGCAGTGAAGACATATTCAAGATTCGTCGAGATTGCACTGCTGGAAAATATCTTCTTTTATTTGAAAAAAAAAATTTTATGATTGGAAAAATAAAGAATAATTGCTGTTTGTTACAAAAACGTTGAGTTTTTCTTGTACGGTTTAAACAAGGATCAACGAATCAAGAAAAAATAAGCGTTGCATCGCGGCTTGAATTTACCGAGTACAGTACAGTACAGTACAACATTTAACAAGAATAAGGAATTACGGTATACTTTCTTGGATCTCAAAGAATCCGCATTGTTGTTGACTTCATTCTGCAAATATCTAAGAATCTAACATGATGCATGATGGGGTATGATTATACTCGATGCAAGGCATGGATTTATTCAATATTTTAACCATGCAAAAAGGATGTTAGCTGTTCTTTACCAAGCCCCCCCCCCCCCAAATATCGTGGTTAATTTTCGCAAACGGTTGCTGGTAGTATACTGACATGCCTAGGATGCGGAATATTCCACGTCGAAGTACAATACAGCAGTACTTACCCAAAGCTTGCATCATGAAGGACCGCCCCGTTTCATTGCCTTCGCGGAACGTTTTTACTGCTGTGCAGTGCAGTACAGTATAGGCAAAACTCTAAATGCTTTTCTTTCCAAAAGCTAATATACAGTCTATGTTAGAAACTTAAGAATTATTAGTCAAATGAACTATTGAATGCTTCGAGCCTTTTGCAGTAAAGTATACAATACGACTATACAAGTATACAGCATGTATAGGGAATTCTGGATAATTATCCAGAATTCCCTGCAAGCTCTCTATGCGCCAGAGAACTAGGCGTTTTAAATACGATACCGATTCGTAGTACAGCAGTACTGTATAGTAATGTGTCATAAGTGTCAGCTACTCAGCTTCCGGCTGATTTCGAAGATGCGCGCCGGCGGATTTGCGCGGAATGATTCATTTGTGTGAGGTAATAGCACAGTACACTAACATTGGCCCTTGTTTGCTGGATGAAAGCATAATAGCGAAAATTGAGTTAATGAGTAGAAAATTATGAGAGACTTCGATACTGCCGCCCCCCCCCCCCCCATAGTAGGGTTGGCATCTGCCATATAAGGCATGTATATACATTACATAGCCTCACAAATGTGAATTATAGGCAGTATTTGGAAGGTTCATCCGCATGAGTATGGCCCGAATATATACCCAGCAGTAGCAGTTTCGTTATTCTACCCAAAAAAATTGATCATGATGATTCTGCACATTATATATATATTTTTTAATTTAGCTTCTACCAACAATAAATTAAATTTAAATGACCAGGGGAATTAAATTTAAATGCAGAGAATTTCCAGCAGATGTGTGGGGTATTTATCTCAAGCAGTCAAAAGTGGTAAGTTTGCACTGTACAAAATTCCACGATGTATATAACACATAATTGCATAAAATTGCACAAAAATCCTTATACAATGCACTGCACATTTACACAATGCAATAAATATAAATATTAGTTCGATAAACAACTCCTCAAGTTTCAGACAAAATTTGGAAACGAAATCTGAAGAAATAAATCAGTGTGAAAACAACATGATTTCCAAGCATGAAAAAAAGTGCAGAATTTCACAAAATTTCCATTCATGTCCAAGTACAGGTATAACGCAAATTTCTTTTTATTACACCAACTGATGGATGTCTATATACAGTATTTATAATCATTAGTTTGGTATAATCATTAGATTGAAATTCCTCCCCAATGAAGAGAAGTATCCTTTGAAATCAGCCATTCATCTCCCCACCGGACATGCAATGCAAATATGGTGGCATTTGATATTTTTTCACCATCAGCGATCAGGAATCCTGCAAAAAAATATTACGGAACATCTGCTGCATCACCAGCAGAAATACACATCCTGCAAGTCCTTGAAAGTTAAAAGTTTGCCAAGCATTACGTAAATACGAAGTACTCCACTCCATCTGTTTTTTTTTCAAATGCATTGTATTTTGTTGTCCTGGCGTATTGGAGTTTAAAAGTATTTATTGTACAGTACAGCAGTATTTCGGACACAGCCTGAATGCCCCGCTGGAGGACCCTGTACATCTGAAATGTCTCTGCTGCCGCTGTTTTCGTTTTTACGTCGTTCTGTCGTGGTAGCGACACCTGTATGATGCATGTAGACGTACGGTGAGGATAGCTCCTTTCTGAAACTAAGAGAGGTTAAGGTGTGGGCAATATCGAAGTGTCTTCCTGCCACACCGGTAATTCTGATACATGCGTTCGCCTGGTGACCAGACGTTAGGGTACACTTTCAAACTCGACGCAACTCACTTCCACGCTGCCCCTCCAGAGGGCTGTTCCCTACCACTCCATGCCTCAATGCCAAACGCCTGTACTGTGATGGGTAGCTGCATAGCGTTTTATTTGGTTAGTGATGCCGAATGGTGAATGTGTTTCGTGCTTCTGTGTTCTGTAAATCGGCCGTCCTGGAATCGTAGTTTCTATACGTTCAATAGAATCCGAATCTAAACACAGTACAACGATTTTTTCTGGAAGGATTTAGTGAATGATAGGCGAGATGAACGATCTCGCTGTTCTCTCGCTTGTGCAGAAATGGGAAGATGCAGATGACCCACTTGCACCTGTGACCATCCGACAACGGGACGTTATATTGGAGTTATCGAGTTGTTCAAATGATCGACCTCTACCGGTAAGATGATCTTCGACTTATTATAGGAATGCGTTTTGCTGCACGGAGTACTCTTTCAGTTTCAGAAAGGAGCTATGAACATTGACGATGAAAGCTCATTTGATAATCCCCAAAGCCCGTTTTCAGTCACCGACGATGACGATGTCGACGATTTCACGTTGCATTCTACAAATCGGCGGCATGACAGCTTCCTCGCATTGGAGACTGGAAGAGTCGTAATTGATTCTGCTCAAGATTTTTTCCAGTGGTTTTCGAAAGTTGAAGAAGATATGGAGTTTGATCAACTTGCTGCTCATCATAAATTTCTACTATCACTAAAGCAAGCAAATGCCCACTGCAACAACCTTTTAAATGAAGTAAGCATGTCTGTAATTCAGTTGAGGGATTTATTCATGTCATGGAATTATTTTTTGCAGACAACTTTGGTTCTCTCCGTATTGAGTAGACTAAATTCTGCGCATGAAGCTGTTCTGGATAAAACAAAATCGTTACACGATGCTTGTGAAAATCTTCTTCAAGAACAAGAAATCTTGAGCAAAACTGCTGAGTCCCTGGATTCACACTTGAGTTATTTCGAAATTTTGGATGAACTAAGTGAGAAGTTGAGTGCTGCTTCTCTTTCGGTGCATTCTGACGGCTTCATTCCAACGCTTGTCAAGCTGGACGAGTGCATATCTTATATGAAGGATCATGTGAGCTAGCGTATTTTCCATATGGATGAGGAACGTTAGTCCAATACGAGTTTTTTCAGGTTGCATTTAAGGATGCTCCCATTTATGCTGTTCGACTGCAGGCTTGCATGCAGCGTGGCTTGAGCATTATCCAAGCGTATGTGTTCGAGTCCTTGACAGATGCTTTTAATCAAGTTCAGCCCAATATTTCGAGTCAGAGTGGAAAAGTTGACGCGGGATCTGGCTACAGCATTCTTTCGCTGGTTGGTGCTGGAAGCGGAAATGTCTCAGCACCAACGCTTTCATTGGATCAGGCATATCCCTTCCTTTACGCCCGATTTCGAGTTAATGCGCCGAAGATCAAGTCAATGGTTGCAGAAATCGAATCGCGGCTGGATGATCGGAGCTATGCGGTGTCAATATACCAAGATATTCAATCTCATTACTTCGGCCTGCGAAAGCGTCTTCTCTTTCCGATCATTTCTGCACTCATAAATGAGTTAAAAGAGAAACATTTCCAGTATGTAGTTACTTTCTGCAATCCTATTGCATTTGAGCGAAACGAAGTACTGTAATTAGTAATTGTTCATAGGAACAAGTGTGCGATGGTGCGAAGTGGCTGTAGATTGTTGCTGAATGTCTGCCAGGACGAAATCGATTTGTTCGCCTGCTACTTTTCTGGAAAAGAAACTGGACAGCTCGAGTGCGTAAGACTATCCCTTGAATAAAAGTTCCTGTTTCTGTTTACAGTATTGTACGTCCCACTTATCTGTTCGCAGCGCTTTCCTGGATGAACTATGTAGCCTGCTGTATGACGTCTTCCGGCCGATTTTCGTCCATGTGAATCATTTAGAGACTTTAACAGATCTTTGCATCATTATGAGGGTCGACATTTTGGAAGACGGTGGTTAGATATTCTATTCCTGTTTCAGTTACCGGTACATTATTTTTAAACTTCTGTTTCTAGCAGAAAGCAAGCTTGCCAGAAACATAGATGCATTTGTCCGAATGATGACCCAACTCATCGAAGACGTTCAAGAGCGGTTGATTTATCGGACGCACATGTATATCAAGTCGGATATATTGGGCTACGTTCCTGCCGGAGGGGATCTGGCGTATCCCGACAAACTCATAATGATAGAGGTAAGAATTTATCATACATTATTATTGTATCCATCTGAGTACTATATTTAAATTGAATGATTATCCAGAGTATTGCCGAAAGTTTGCATGAAGCCGACTCCGAAATGGGGCAAAGTTCATCTAGGGCTCCTTCTGTCGCATCGACGGGGACCGCCCAGAGCCAGTTTATTCGATCCCACACTGGTGGTACGTTTCATATCTAGCTTTGGCTTTTTATAATTGAGTGTATTGCTTTTGAATTCTATTTTTTTCATTACATCTATTAAATTAATTTTTTTATAATAAGGTTACAACATTTTTAAATTTCAGCTTCCGCTGCTGATTTCCTCGGGATGTGGTACCCAACTGTTCGCCGAACGCTTGTTTGTCTTTCGAAACTTTATCGATCTCTGGACAAGGGCAGTTTTCAAGGTCTAAGCCAAGAAGCGCTTTCTGCTTGCATCGAAAGCTTAGTCAACGCTTCAGAATCCATTGCCAGTAAACAAACAGTGAGTATCTAGTCTTACGCAGATGTCTCAGATTCAGCTTTGTCGATAAGTTTCGAAGTTTATCTTTATTTCAGAATGCGTTTGTCGACGCGCAGCTCTTCATTATCAAACATTTGCTCATTCTTCGGGAACAGATAGCCCCATTCCAAGTGGATTTTGTAGTGAAAGAGATGATGCTTGATTTCTCGAAAATGAGGGAAGCTGGTGCGTTGATATATTATCCAGGCTAATTTCTGTATGAAGTTCCCTTTTATCGCATTTTTCTCAGCGATGGACCTGTTTCAAAGTCGGCGTGTTTTGAGCTTAAGAGGTCCAAGCGCAATTTTGGAATTTATACTGGAAGGAACGCCGGACATTCGCGAATCTGTTGTGGATTCAAAAAGGGATGTTGATTTGCAACTTAAACGAAGTTGTCACGCACTTATCTCGCATTGCACGACGAAGATCGTATCATCTGTGGCGAATTTGCTTGGGAGAATAGAAAATTTTATACATAGCCGGCACCCTGGGAACAGGTCACATTTTATTGAAGTAATGGACATCGACGATCGCGAAGCGTTGAGAAAGGAGTCTTTCATGGAACCAGAAAATATAACTCAGTCTCTTGCGGAAGCCAAGCGGAATATTAAGGTCAATATTCCAGTTATTCTTCGGAGTTTGCACCTGTATTTGGCAAATCGTGATACGGAGATGATACTCTTCCGTCCAATTAAGGTATACATTTCTTGAAAATTTCTTTCCGAAGGAGGTTTTTGATGAAATCTTACTTTCAGATGCGAGTTTTGAATGCCTTTGAAGGCATCGAGAAGTTGATGGTGCGGTTATTTGTGGAAGAGGAATTGAAAGTGATCAATTGCCCTTCTCAAGAGCAATTGAATATTTTGTTGTCGAGTTTGTTGGCCAATGCAAATGGAAAAAGTTGATATGATTTGATGATGGCTTTAAAGTATTTTTTCGTTGTTTTAGGAGTTCATTCCCTTTGATGATCGTGGTTTGTTTCTGGGGGTGACATGATAAAGCCGCAGAAGTTGATATGATTTTCATGTGTTAGTACTTGATTCACGATATATTTATTGATTCGCGAATGCAGATTTTAAATTACTAAATTCTTCAGGTTGGAATCTCCTATTGTGATGATGAATATTAGTGATATTCGTGGATTCCGGTTTCGTGGTAATCGAAAGCATGATTACATGCATTTGTGACTCAAAAGATCCAGCTAGTCTGATGACTGAATCCGTACGATGCGGCCATGTACTTCGACGAATCGTGGTCAGGGAGTCGGGGTATTTCGGCGAGGTCGAATCCAGGGAACGATTTTCGGAATTTATACCAGATACCGAGATCTATCAGGTTTTTTATTTCATCGTCATTTTTCCGAAATGTTTTTCCAAGTTTCCATGTTTTGTTAGGTCTAATCTGGACTTCGAAAACACCTATGTGACGATGAGTCGTCGAGGATCCAGGATGAGTTGCATTGACGCTACAGTGAGTTCCTGCTGTATCTTATTTTCTCTCGATACTGACGATCCATATTATGGCAGAAGTGTGTCGAAGACGACGATGGCGGATTGCCAGTAGTTGAACTGGACCCAGGTGCGTCATCATTTTCAGTTTTTGCGAATGTTCGGAAAAAGATTTTGGAGTCTCAAATCCGGAAAGCTGCTCAGCTGTATTTTGCTTTCAACTCGTGGCGTAGCTGCGATAATCCTCCGGAAATATTCAGCGATGCGTCTAGTTCGGTGACTTTACCGAAGGTGATATTTGAATCGGAATTCCTCGGTATACCTCTGTTTGACTAAGTTTCTGCTTTTCAGGTGGTCGGTATTGGGTTAACCCAAGTGTTCCTGTTGATCAAGAATAGTAGGCATATTTACCCTTCTCTTTGCTTGCAGTCCCTCGAAGCTTTGTTGAAAATGCTTGAGGGCCTGCCTCCCCAAGGTCTTTCTGAGGAACCTGCAAATCTATTGAGTGCGTTTATGAAGCTTTACTTCCGACAGATTATTGTCACTGTCTTATTCACTTTCAGATGATCTTTTCCGGATTCTAAGAGATTTAGCTGCTAGTGACGCAAGTGTAGATCAAAGCCCAAGTGCGGACACAGAACTAGACGACGGATCTGGCTGGAAACAAAGCTCCCCGCCGCAGAAAACTCTGCAATCTTTGGCGTGTGCTTGCATGCTGAGCCTTGTTGTTGCTGTGGGAAATCCCGGAAAATTGTTTTTAGCCGTCGGAGATATTTTAATGTCCGTCAGAGTGCAATCACTGCAAGATATATTCGTGAGGATCTCTTCTCTTCCATTCATACTGTCTTATAATATAACTCCCGTCTCTTCAGTTACCCCGCAATTTAATCGAATTGCAACGAACTACGTGTGGAACCCTAATGGGAAACGAAATCCTGCCTTCTTGGATATCTGTTGGAGTTCAGAAATCGGGACTGTGCAATTCTTTTCACGTGGGAAGATTTATAGGTGAAGCGTTTTTGGTTCTTGAAAATTTTTCCTATCGCATGATTTGACTTTTTTCATAGATGAAAGTGACGTAGAAGACAGCAATACAAGCGGCGACGTCGGGAGGGATATTCCATGCTGTATAGTTAGCAATGGGGCTTTCATGTATATTTTTCATGCGGAAGAGGGTTTGCTGAAGGTCGGCACTGGTTATCAAGGTACAATACGTGGGCACATCTACATGTGCAAGCCACCGCCATTTTACTTCGAAGGAGATCCCTGGATGGGATTCGCTTGCGTATGTAGTTTGCGAACCATTTTTTTTTTGCGGAAGTGATATTTTGTTCGTGTTGCAGGGTTATCTATGTCTTAGACATGGTGGTCGCGGCCAAAACAGGATCAGCCTCTTCCATCCAGAAACACTGAAGTTCGAAGGAGAAATTGAGCTTCCCTTGAGTCTACTTAGCAGGCAAAGCAAACCTTCACAGTTGTCTGAATCAAGATGTTCGGACGATGGTTCTTGTGTTCTGTTCTCGGATGGGAAAACACTGGGGCTTTTTTTGGGTTCTGATGAAGAGGTATGCTACAAGGTATTGCTGCGTAGAGCAGCGTAACGACGTTTTTATTCATTCATTTATTTCATTTCATCAAAACCTTAAACAGAACAGCATTACAGTTCGATCGCTTGATCGTGGATCACTTCAAAAAGCGTGTCTAAAGGCAACGTCGGAATCGAAGGAAGTTTTTACCGCCACTGACATTCGATTTGAGGATCTAAACCTGCGATTGGTTCGCAAATGCTTGGACGTCTTCGGACATCAGATGAATTCTGCGAGTGATGAAGTCCGCAGTCCGATGCATGCTGTGAATTTTGTTCCGTTTCCTTCTGCCGCGGAGGATAATCACGATGACGAGCTGATCTCTGTGGCCAATGGCAAGGACTTCACGCTACTTTGCACCCGAGGAGGAAGAGTCAGTTGAACGCTGATGAATCGAATGTTTTCATATGAGTTTGAGTATTTCGTTGTACAGGTTCTCTACGCTGGTCGTTCGCAAAGCTTGGGTTTGAAACCATGTGGCCACGTTGCTAATGATCTCAATGCAATCGGACCTACTGGTTTTAATCAATGGAATGAACTCCCCCTGTCGTGGGGAGAAGCCAAACCTGCGCGAATTGTAGACATTGCTGTTGGGCATGAAGCTGAACATGGACTTTTACTAACGGACGACGGTCGGGTCTTCTTTGTTGGGACATCCAAACGTGGTGAAGATGGAGAACCAAGTACGTTGATTAATCTTATGGTTTTGGGTTCTATGAATTTTCATTGCTCAATTTTGAAGGACCTACGTAAGCTTTGGGTTTCTTCAACACTGTTTGATTGTGATTGACTTACTGTACTTAATTTACTTGAATCAGTAAAAAGCAGACGTGAGCCGAAAGCATCTAAGCCAAAGCTGATGGATAGATTGTCATCGAAACACATCGTCAAGTGTGCGTGCAACTATGGAACTTGTGTTTTTGTCACAAAATCTGGCAATTTACATGTGTTCGGGAAAGACGCCGTGACCCATTGTGATAAAGATACTGGCAAGTTCAAGGGACGTTCGCCTGAATTTATATATATATTTTTAAATGATTCTATTACATTTTCCAGGGCTTGTGACCGATTTGAAACACGTGAAAATTGTTGAAGTAGCGATGGGTAAAGCGCACGTCGTTGCAATCGGATCAGATGGTGCCTTGTATACATTCGGAATGAATAATCGGGGTCAATGCGGTCGACAGCAGGCAGCATCAGCTACTGATGGTTAATTTTTAAAGTTGTGTGTGTGATGCAGTGATGGCTTATTCAGTTCGCTTTCAGATCAACAAAGAAAGGATTATCCTGTGCTCATCTTTTCTAAAGATTCGAGCGAAGCAGCAAATGATTTCAGTGTCGAAAAGCGAGCTTTTGTAAATGCCTCTAAACGTATTCGGAACAAGCGCCCGAGAGAAGAGGTAGATGCGAATGTAGATGAGTTTTATGATCGCAATCTGGAAAATAACCTGGAAGACGATGAGTGCCTGTTGGAAGCTGAGGTGGAAGAAGATCACATGCACAACAGTGAAAAAAATGCCTGTGTTCTCGGACTTGCTCCTCATAAGTGGAAACAGAATGCGTGTAGAATCTGCACATTTTGTGGCGAATGTACCCAGTTCGGGAGTACATGCGTAAACCATGGAAATCCAAGGATTTTAGGACGGTAAGAATCAACACGAAATTACTGAACGCTCGTAAAAAAGTCAACTGCGTTGGATGAAATTGAAAATTTATCATCGTCTTTTCCCGAAAAAATGTGTCTTTTCCCGAAAAAATGTGTCTTTTCCCGAAAAAATGTTCTCGTCTTTTGGAATTTCAGGGAGTGTGGCTGTGGCATTGGCGAATCTGGTTGTGCAATGTGTGGAATATGCCGTTCTTGCCATTATGATCGTGTTCTCAGTGGATATGAGCAGCCGGATTTGGATGATGATGCATCATTATACGAAGTTAAATTCCGAGATAAAAATCTTCAAGATACGATGCCCCAAAATGCCAATCAAATTCGATTTGAAGGTTGGTTTTCGTTTTTGACTGACCTCGACTAGAAAATTTAACATGCTGTTTACCTTGGTCAGGATACGTGGTTCACCTAGCTCTTCAAGATGTGCTGCATTAAAAAAAAATCAATTGTGATTTACCGATTTTTGGATTATGTTCCGTCTTTCAAGTTAATTTGAATGAGGCCTTTAGTTGTTTCATCTCATCCTTCATGTTCTTGTTGACAGAGAGTGGACACATTGAATGGTATCAAAGTCAACTGATGGAGAATCCCGGGAATGTTGGAAACAGTGATAGATCTCATCCCTCTCCGGGTGGCAATCGTTCGAAGGTATCTTCGTTATCCCCAGCTCGAGTCAATCTTCCGACGAATTCCAAAGTTGTTGCCGTCGCCTGTGGATTATACCATACAGGTAGGTTTTTCGTACTTGTTGCTGTCATGTGTCATTCAAATTTCACAGAAATTTAAGACCATTCAGGATGTTTATCCTCTGGAAATATTTTCTTGAGATAAACTCTGTGGATAAAAAATTAAGGGTCGTGAGAACGTTTCGGTGATTGAAAAAAAATATTTAGTCGGCTATTTTTAAAATTAAACCTTGTGTGGGATTTCGTCAAATGACATCATTAGAACCTTTAAATTTTGTAGAATGTTGCTCCAATTAATTGTTGACGGATTCCTGAACGATTTAGTTGTATTGGTGGAGGACGGTGACGTGTTCGCTTTTGGGAACAACTCGCATGGTGAACTTGGAAACGGAGGAATATCTTCAAGAAATATGCCGCTAAAAGTACCGTTCGGTCTGTGCTCGCGGGAATCCACGAGTGACGCAACAAAAACTTGTTCCGCGACGAAACCGAAGAGTGCCTTTATTGTTCAAGTTGCTGCAGGAAAGTCGTTCTCGGCTTTCCTGGAAGCGAATGGCCAAGTTTACGTTTGTGGTCTTCCAAAGGTATAGAACATATCACTTGATTGCTTTCTTATGATTTTAATCAATGCGTATCCATTTTATTCGTTTTTCAGGATTTTATTTTTCCAAAAGAGACTGATTGTCTTCCTGGTTATGGGATAAGAATAGTTGGCGGAATCGGATACTTAACTACTCCGAGTAAGATTCCCGGGATCGGCCCAGAATTCGGGCGTAAAGCTGTCTGGATTGGGGCTTCCGGTGACCAGTTATTTGTAAAAGTGGATGAAACGCTAATCAATCCGAGAACGTTGCAAAACGCGAAGATCGTTGCAAATGCCGATGTGATCGGTAAGCTGAAGCTGATTGATGTAGCTTTGAGGAACTTTGTTGTTGAACATCCTTCATGTTTTCAGCTTTACTGCTCGATAAAGAAAAGCTGGCCACGGGATTGACGAAAACTGGTCGACCTATGCTTGGGGAACCCGGAACTGCTGGCTCAGATTTCTTGGCAATATCTCGGGAAAAGGGTTCTTGTCACAGTGGATTATCTGATGGTTCGTCAGTCGATTTTTCAGGTTGTGCTGCCTGCTTAGACCCTCACTTCAATATAATTTGGAGGTTGGTATTCGAGGGTTTTTTTGTGCATCAAAGCATCACAGGCTGATCTAATGTTTTTTCCATTTACGTGAGCGACAGGGTACCGTGAACACTGCATCGAAATAATATACTTGTTAGATTTCTTGCAATGAGTTTCCTACTTTCAGTCATTAAAGCTTGTTATATTTATTACTTTTTATTCATATTTTTACCCAAGGTATGAGAAGAAATCGGGATTGGTGGAAGGATACAACGTCATACTCAGCGGAATACGAATTGATAACGGTATAGATACCGCCGAACTTCAGGGTTGGCCTGAAAACGACAACCAGCAAAATCGATCTGTTCCGTTGATACTACTTCCTGAGTTTATGATTCCAATGAATGACTGCAATGTTGAGTCCCCAACGTTTGTTTCCCGCTCCCAAGCTGCCATGTTTCTTCTAGCTGCACTCGACACATTGATCAGATCGTTTACTAACCAGGTGAACCTTTTTTTTTAAACTTATTTTGAGGACTGTCAGAACATGATGAGTTTAAGGCGAAGCTAAGCTTAATGGCGCGAAAGCGTCATTACCTTGTTTCTTGTTGGCAGAGTTTCACTAATTTTAGCTGACTATCTGCGAGAAAGAGGCTCCTACGGTCGTACCGTATTTCTTGGAATGTTTTCTGCGTTGCTCTTCTCAATAAGGAAGGGTCCGAGGATGCTAATTTTACTTCTTGTTTCTTTAATAAGTGGTGAGACTTTAACTTGCATTAGTTGCTGGACTTGGTTGGAACTCTTCCGACTGAAATTGAGGTGTCGATAATGTCATCGACAATGGCTGTGAAGAACTTTTTTATTTCTGACGTTTGATTCAACTTCTTGATTTAACGATGCGAAGGAAAACTTTGAAAAAGTTTTAAGCTTCTCTGCTTTCCCAGATGCCACACTGTGACTCAAATCGCAATCATGCTTGGAATTCGAATATGATGCACGACTGCCTAAGCCGTAATCAGTCTACGCTTCGAAGTCATAGAGCTGATTACTGGAAAAAATTGAACAATGTCAGCTTTGAAAAGGGAATGCAAAAGCCTATTCAAAAACGATTGGGTATTCATCGTAAAGGGCAAAGTCAGAACTTGTCTGTTTCAATGAAGAACGCGAGCAGAAATGGCCTAAATATTGTCAGCAGGTTCCAGAGTGAGTTGATGTGGTGGTCAAAAAAGGGCATGAATCTAAAGCAACCTCTCATTTTTTCCCAGAACAGGAAAGTGGCTGGGGATACTCCGATAATTCAGTTGAAGCAGTACGGTTCATGTGTGAAACGGTCATAAGCTTCTATGGAGTTGCTTTGTATGGAGCTGCTGGTTGCTATCTGGTTAAAATGAGGGTGAGAACGAATGCTATGCGAATGAGTTGGAGCGAAGTGAAAGAGTTTTTAAGCTGTATTTAAAATCGTTGTCCTTATGTAAATTTAGCCTGATGAACTGCTTTAGTGCTTGTGAATGATGAATAGGCGGAACATCTTGAATGACAAATTTTGGCTCCCTTGCCCTTTACGTGAGGATGTTGACAAATTTGCTTGAAGATACTGCGTGTCATCTGACGACGGATAAATTCTTTTGAGGACCCCCGGAATGAACGAATGACATTTAGAAAAGCATTATTGTTTTCGTGACAGCTGTACGATATTGGCTATGACGATTCCGAATATGAGGGGCATATTGTTGCGGAAACCGAAGAAAACATGTACGAAAACGATTGCAAACTGCACGTTTTTTTCCGAGAGCCGGTTGTCCTGATGTCGCAGAGGTTTGTACCATGATTATTCCCATCCATTCCGTTATCCATGAGATCCATTGTTGAAGCTTTTTATTCCCTTCTTTTAGGTGGTACGTAGTATGGATAAGGATATCTGGCCCAACTTCACCTCACGGTGTTGGTGGTCACAGCCCGGTCATCGGGGATGATGGGTAAAATAATAGTGGATACAAATTATCCAATTCGAATCATCATTATGTATTTTTCCCCCAGGACGATATTCCATTTCAAACATTCTTACAAATCGAATAATGGCACAGATGTTCTCGGTGGACAAATTCCTGAGATCTTCTACAAGACAAAAGGAAACGAATCGATGGACATCCTGAAATCTGCCGATGGCAGTGATCCGATTTATCCTATCTCAAGTCAATTTTTGCTACGCTTATCGCCTGTGAGTTAATGTCACACTCGTAGCCGTAAACGGATGTTATAATATTTCAGTTAAATTTCTCTATGTTTGATGGAACCTGATGAATATATTATTTTTGGACAGTATTAAAAATGCTCTATTCGGACTACGGACGTAGTTAGACTTGAGCTTTGTGAAATTTAATTTTTAGTATCTTTTTATGGTGTTCTCAGGAATGCTTCGACGCTTTGCTGAATATACTCGAATGGAGTTGGAAAACTTTCAAAGCCGGATCGATGGACCTTATGAGTACTCCAGTTGATGCTTGTTACGCTGTTCGAGAAACGTTGTCGACACGATCACCCAGCGATTCAGTGATGTCTTCTCCTACCTCAACAGCGTCGGCTAGTTCAACATCGTCGTCCAGTTATTTTTTCGCTCGTCAAGGCGAAGCATTTGCTCGGATTGCTGCCGTGCAAGATCTGCAGAGATTAGTGCACATCGCGTGCGCGTGCTTGCGCCTGCTTCGAGCTTATGTGAACTACATGTATCCAACTGGAGGTGCCGTTTTATCATATTTTTACTCACTAACAAAGTTAAAAATTCTGTCAATTTTGTGCAAGTTCCAGGACGTACGTTCTTTCGACGAATGTCGGAGACTTCGTGGGCTCCGAGCTGTGTCTTCTCGACGCGGAAAGCAATTGAAAGTATACTTGCTGATCCAATTTGTAGTACGTACTCTGCTGTTCCGCCGACAAATGATGGGATAACTTCAGGGTTCTTGAGTGCATCCATCATCGCCTCCAGTGAGTAATACATGTACTTTCGATTATGGGTAGCAATTGTGTAAAATTTATGAATACCTCAATTCAAGGTAAAAAGCCACATCACACGCTATGTGCCGCTATCCTAGATGAATGCCTCGCGACCTACAGTGAATGCTTTCATGCATTCTATCCTTCTACAAAGCTGAAGTGGGATCTTCTGTGCAATGTCCTTGGATTAAACATGGTATATCTTTTTAATGCTCTCAGAACTTGTATGGGGATTTTTCTGAACTGAAATTTTTTTTATTAAAAATAACTTTTTGTTGCGTCCCGCTGTACTCACTGTCCGACTGCATTTCGTTTCGTTCATATTCATTGGCAGCCGAAGGAAGATGCTCCGTACATCACCGACGAGCTTGTTTGTGCTGTTTTTCGTTCATTGTCGATGCCGTCCGTACGTTTGGGCTACGTTTTTCCGATTGGAACGAGTACTATCTGTACTGCAAATGCGGATATCTTGGGAAGTACAGTGCGTTCGTGGGGCGACGGGCATCCGGATCCTTCCCAAGCATTGGGAGGCATCACAGCTTCACTCGTGAAATTCATGGAGGATAAGTCGCAGCTCTTCCTTTGTACCTCTGATCGAAGTTGGGATTTTTCAGCGGTAATAAACCGTATCGTAGGAATTGTTTTGGGACCAATCCAGCGGATACTAGACGAAATACGTTTGTCTGGAGGCGACGATAGACCCAATGAGCATGAAGAATCTACCCTTGTTCATGCCGCTGCTGAGTTACTCACAACGTTTCTGGCTCAACTGACCAGCCTCAACGTGATGAAGGTACTGTAAAACATTTCATTTATAAATTCGTCGACAACGTTGAAACATGTTCCGAATTTTCTTGAATGCGTTGAAAAAACCTCAGTAATGTTAATTGATAATTTAGAAATCCGTGTATATTTCAATTTGATTACCATATGATGAATATATTTTCATCCAGTATTTGATAGCGTATTTTAAAATGTTCTGTTGTAGGAGATGGAGCTATCAATTACGACAAAAGAGATACTGTCGATTCCCAGCAGATTCGGACGCGTCAGTCAAGCGAAAATGTGGAACGCCTGCAATGGATCACCCGACGCCATAGGATTTGTAGTTGATCACCCGGGAATTATAATTGCAGGTGCTAAAGTTTTTGGCTCGAATGCTATGCTGGATTATGAACTGGAACTCCTAGTTGAAAAGGTTGGTGCGAAGGTTCTATCCTGCCTGATCATCAAGTTTCAAACTCCTGATTTTTGTTTTTAGGATGTCTCTTTTGATGAAAATGTAAAACTCAGTGAGCTTCGCTTACCGCAACGCTGGTTATGTTTGGAAACTGTGTGTGGGACTTACCGAAAAAACGATATTGTGGATGGGCTGGCGGACATTCGGTTCCAAAAACCAGTTGCTATCAAGGTATAGAAATTCGTTAAAAAAACACAAAAAAACTTCCACCTCATCATATACTGTCTGTATCTAACTCACCTAACCGGCATTACAACAGGAGCGGATGCGACATGTCTTACGTTTGAGGCATCACGGTGGATATACTCACAGTGGAGAAGCTGGATTATCCTGTGTTAAAGGCCCAGATGGAACAACGTTCTCGTTCTTCTCTGTTTCAGTTTCATTCAACGGCACTTCGTTAACGAGGGGACAGATTCCTCAAATTCTGTACTACAGGTGATTTGATTTCATGATCTGGAATTTTCGTTTCAGCCCCTAGATTTTTACCTGTACCTCGTGTAGCATTCAATGTAAATCAACTGAAAAAAATGTTCTCCGATAGTTCCAAGTTGATATCATGTCCAAAAAACTCTTGAATCATTTATGCCGAGCTGGGATTTACTTGTGAAAATTTATTGTTTATTGACTTCCGAAAGTACAGTGCAAGAAAACTGGTTTACTAGCAAATGTCCTCATCTGCTGTTCTATCTTCATATTTAGTGAACCCAAGCAAAATAAATCCCAAGTGGAATTCGTAAGTTTAATGGAGGAAGAGTGGAAGCAAACTGCCTTGTGGGTCAGCATGCGCATCGTTGATTCTGCGGCCGAACTCTTCGAGAAGTGTTTAGGCTTGCCATCTGATGCTTTTGCGTGTGGACGAAAAATTTTGGCAGAATCCAGCCTCGTTACCTCAATTCTTCCTCTAGTGTTCGCATTACTGTTGAGTCAGACCGTGCCGGATGCAAAGGTAATAAATTTGATGCTTCTCCGAGGTTGCAGAGATAAATGCAATGTCTCTTGCAGATATGCCACGAGACTTTGAACGCATTAAAATCTTTGCTTCCATTTGTCACTGAACTGAATCTGGAGTTTCTGCGGGAGTGGGGAGAAAAGCAGTTGTTAGCTGGAAAGATCTTGAATCAGGATTCCAGCTTGTCCGTGACGACATCAAGCCATTACGCAGTTGTTGAGAGCAAGCATCCATACGAACCGGCCACTGTTCAATTGTACAAGTGAGTTTTTGGCCACTTTACCTAGGTTCCCTCAGTTTAACGCCTAATTTAATTATTTTATCAAGGGCTGTGTTTCCACCGTGCGTTCAATGGATAAGCTTGGAATTCGATTCGCAATGTTGTCTTGGTCAACCCGAAGACTCATTGCAGATCTTCATCCCCGTTGATGCTGAAAATGAGGATCAGTCTGTGGAAGCGATTCTTTCCCCGGTTACTTTGGATGGAGAAATCAGCGATGAGATTTTTGCCAGATCTTCAAGCCAAACCTGTCCACCCGACGGTTTTATCTCTGTTCTTCCGAAGTTCAATGTGCAAGATCCAGAAACTTGGCCAAGGAGCGCCATAATTCTGCCAGGTTATTTATTTGAACATCAAATAAGCTCTTGATTAATTTTCTGTTGCATAAGCCAGCCCTGTATCCGTTTTTGCATGACTTGACAAAAAACGGATGTACTTTTGCCGTAGGTAACAAAGTGATTTTCTCATTGTCCTCCGCCACACCGTACCTTGGGAATGACAAGCAAGCAAGCTTTTATGGATTCAAATGCTTGTTGATCGGGCATGAATATCCAATGCCATCATCAAATGATGTACCTTGTGGCGGCACAGCCGGCACGGGAGCATTTTGGTCAGATGGTCTGTTGGTTCTGGAAAGAGAAATCGCCCATTTGGCTGGTGCATGTTGTTGCACAATCTTGAATAAGAAGCTTTGTTTGCCCTCAAGCAAAGGTGGGCCCGTTGAAGTATTGAAGTATTCTTGGCATTTTCATGATATTGAAACTCTTTGGATGTAACAGATGTCGCGCATATTGACCAAGAAGCAAGTTCACCGCATAATGAAAAAGACTCTTGCTTACCGCTTCTGTCGAGAGGTCTTGCGTTATCGCATCCCCCGACGGTTCGAGATGTTTTGGATTGCGCGCTGCCTTTGGAGTAAGTACAATTCTTCCGCTTTTATTCCCGTATTTATCTCGTTCCACGCAGTCCTGAATCAGTTTCTCATAACCAATCATAGTTATACAATATCGCATCGTTCAATATCATCTAAGCTCTAAGCCAACAATCACAAACGAGTGTTGTCCCATTTCTGATTGTCCATGGGTATTTCTAGGGTAGTTACTGCTGTAAAAATATATATGCTGTATACGATGTAGCCCATGCTATTGTAAAGTTCCGGGTTTGTTCAGATTATTATAAAAATTTATAATACTGCATGATGATGAGTAAAAACTTTCCAGTTACAGGGAGAGTTCTCCACCCATGTCACAAGCTGTTCAGGCCAGACCAAAAATTGAAAACATTATGTCGATTTTAGCACAAAATTTCCTACATCTTTTATAATTTTCAAAAATTTTCAATGATTGTTTAGTTTTCAAAAAATGAAAATGTAAGTGTATTTTGCGTTTTTCCAAGAGCAAGTCTTCATTTTCAATTTTTTTTCCTCCTCAAAAACATCACACAAGGCCTAGTTTCTGTCTGTGATATTTTTCTTACTATCTCGAAATTTTACCAACTTCTTGTTTTGAACAGCGCCATCAAAAGTTGGAATCGTTCATTGAACAGACTAAATCTTACTGCCGAAGAGTTCTGTTGGCTTGTGATAAAATCTTTTACCTGACGTGGAAAGTAAGAACTGACGCTCCTTGCACGAATCCTTTTTCTGCAGGAGAAAATTTTTTTGCTTCCCTTCCTGAATCCGTCGAAGAAACTTATGAAGATGTCAATATGTAGCAGGTGACCATAGTTGGAATTGTATGTTACTTATTCGCAGAGTGAAGTCCAACGAATTCAACTTTTTAATGGAGTTCGTGAAATGTGCGGGGAGCTTGAACAGCTCCGGTGGTAGACTGGCTCGGTGGCTGCAGCCAGAACCGTACATTGAACCGAGACTCTGTCAGGTGATCTATAGCAGGCAGAATATCTTTTCTGGCTGGGAAACTCAGATATCGATCATTACGAGGGACCAATACGGACAAGTCGCGCAGTCACCTAATCTCAAGGTAACGTGCTTGTTAGAAGCTTATCTGCAATTGATCTTGTGAATTTTTACATCATATGTAATACAACTCTGCGGTTTTTTCTGCAATTGATCTTGTGAATTTTTGCTTCATAATAAAATTCTGCGGTTTTTTCCTCCATAGGTTGATGTTCAAGCTATGCCCATATCCGATGAATATAAGGACTTCGGAGGACGTGCGTATCGAGATAAGACCAACTGGTCTGAGGTTTCTGGTGCAGAAATTCCTGATTACTCTGTGCCGTACCAACCGACTGTTCGAGAAAAAATCGTCTTCCAATCCATTACTGCTATAAAGGTTTGCTCATGGAATGAAACGAAACGCTTTGTTTTTATGTGTATACTTCACTTATTGACAGACATACATTTTTCTTCTCGAATATCTTCACTTATTAATGAAAAAAACGGTTCTGGTTTATTCCTTTTCTTTTTTAGAATTATGAGAACTGGAGCTTTGAAGAACTGAGGTTCTTCAGACCGTCTGAACCTCGTCCAGTCGAAACCATGCAAGTAAAAGATATGAGTGACGGAAGTCACGTTGCTACATGGATTCCAAGTGCTTCTTGCTGCTACGCCATTCAAGTATTTGTGGATGGTTATCTTTTAGAAGGGGTAAGGACTTCTGCCGTTTAAATCGGTAACGAAGGAATGGAAATAGAGTTTTTGGTCCATGTGCTTGGACTTTGAATGTAGAAAGGCTGATAATTCTTCTGGCTGTTGGGCTGAAAATGGCCATGCATGTTGAAAGTATGTCAGTTCATGCATGTGAAAAGTAATCTCGCAGATTCTGCGAACTTCTGCGTAATTATATCATTTGACATGGGGTGATAGCGAGCTTAATGAAACCTGATCGTTCTTTTGTGTAGAACTACTCCGTCGAAGTACAAGAAGTTCCCCCGGGAGTAAACGTGTGCAACGAAATGCCTGTTACTCTCAAACATTCTGCGATTGATGCAAAAGTCGGGATAAAATCTCGACGTTTTGGTGTTGCACATAGTGCTGGATTGCGCATCCGCAGTCATCCGACTCTTCAAAGTGAACAAGTTGGCGTGATAAAGAAAGGAACGATCATCATGATAGTTGAAGAGGTATTTTCGCTGATTTTTGTTTACTATACGACTTCTTCAACGGAATCTGTTCTCTTCGCGATCTCGTTAGCTTCAAAATAAGGACGGGACTTGGGTACGGTTGACGCATGATTCTCTGAGAGCTCATTGTCATCCGGATATTATGGAGGGATGGTCGCTGCAGTATAATCAACATTTGGGAAAAAATTTGTTGGTGCCTGTCGCCTCTGTTCGAGCGAGTAATCCGGTACCGGGTGTCGGTTTTCAGTTCGACGGTAGAACAGTGAGGTGCGTACGTATCATATTCAGAATATGAGTTTGGTGTTGAAGGTGAAAGTCCTTGAGCATTCGAAGGCCTTCATAACATCGCGTAATACTTCCTCGACTTTTCAGATATGCCATTTTAGTGCCCTTGCTTATTTACTTCAAACAAAATGTGTTTCGCTTGCCTATCTGGTTTTCCGAAATTTTCGTAATGAACGAAATAAGAAGAATAACATTTCTGAGCTTTAGAACTATTTTGATATTGGATCATTGAAGAATTATTTGATTCTGTAACACAGTGAGCGCTGAAATTAAATGATTTCCTCTGATGATGCGTTCAAAAAATTAAATCCAAGCTATTTCTTCAGTCATCCCGAAACTGATGCACGCCGAACAACCGACTGCATCCAGATTAGTGGATTTGAGCAGGATACTGAAAATCCTCCCGCTGATCAAGTTCATCAAATGTTGACCAGCAGTTCGGTAGGTCATTTCCGTTACTAAATTGGCGTTCTCGTGATTAGCATTTGATTCCCCCAGGTCCTGAATCAAGGTGACAAATTGATGCAGTTCGAGGAAGAGAACTACGAAGGTGCGAAATGGGCAGTGGATCCTCTAGGTCAGATGACGTACAAATTATGCATGTGTTCGTTGTATTGTGCAATTCCCAGCTCAAGAGAGCCATGTTGAGTTTATTCCAGTGTGAAGAATTGTCTGAAGCTTTTCCCTCTTGTTGATCTGGAATATAACAGAGCAGTGCTGCCCAACTCGGATGTGGCCACAGGCCACATTAATGCTTTTTTTTGGGACTAAGGGCCACGTTTCAGAGGAGAAGAGCCACAATTTATGAATAATTTTTGAGGTTTCAAATTCTCCCCTTTTAAATGAAAAGTTTCAAATTTAATTCATTGCTATGCATTTAGATATTTTGATTAGTGGCAGGTGCCGTCTTGGAAATTATGAGAAGGGACCGCGGGTCGAATGAGTCTCTGCTTGCCGTATGTTGGGCATTACTTTAACACAATTCTGTATATGAAACTGTTTTCAGATCCTTGTGAGCAATCAATTCAGGAAACGAAGAGGTTTCAGAAAGTCATGCATAAGCCAGCTCTGTATCCAAAGCCTGCGTCAATCTCACGCTTGGCTGGAAACAGGAGTCCGAAGTCAGAACGGAAGGATCCATCGCCAATTGGATCGGTGGACACCTTGAGTCTCAATAGCCGTAGGTGTATATCGAACGGGAACGGGTTTTCATCTCCTGTCCCGACAAGGGCTCCGCCACCCACTCCGAAGCGTGGCGTCGGGGAGTTCGCGAGGTGCTCACGGAGTAGTAGTCCCGCAGGTGTTAGAAAACGTTTTCGTGAAATGGTTGGAGAGCGACGTGGGGATTCGACACCGAGGGACTCGTATCTATCAAGTGAAAAAGATCGCGATGGGTGTGGTGCGCAATATTTGGAGTTGTCCTCCTCGATTTCTGCATCAGCAGCATTACAGGTAATGCCGAGTCCTGCAAATTATTTGCAGCCGTCATGAAAAGTCTAATTTTATGCCGTATAACTGCTGCATTATCGACATCGTCGAAATTCCAGACATACCAAAAAACTTGGATTTGCTGAATCTAATTTCGAAAAATGTGCAGAGAAGCTATCATAAAATTTTAAATCATTCCTTGAGTTGGATCATAATGTTCTCAAAAGTCCCGAGGTTTGCCTAAAAATTTGATTATATAATTTCAAGTCTTCAAGACGTGTTGCTGTATAATACGAAAAGGTGTATCCGGAGAACAAGTACTTACAATCTAAAAAGCCGCGGCAGAAATCGTTCAATGCCGATGCGAATGCCGTTTTACTCTTATGCGAACGGTTATTACTGCCGGGGACTCAAGTGCCGAATGGCAGTACTGTACTTCTGTGCAGAACTTCAAATCTTATTTCAGAACGCTCTGCGCAACTGCTGTCCAATAAATAAAGTACATGCTCTAAAAGTATCTACAGATCCTCATATACTCGTAAAAGTTCAAAATTTCTATCTACAGTTCAGTGTTTAATTTTTTATCTTTCACCTTGACAGGAAAGCCTTCCGCGCGATGGATCTACTGAGAGCGACACGAGTGCCATGTTGAGTAGTTTATCAAAGGATGCATCGAAAAGTGCCAGCAGTAGTTCTCTCCTTTTGCAAAGTGCGGAGGACAGCCCGCTTTCTACTCCGTCAACTCTCATGTTGATAGATTCTGCAGAAGTACTGTATTTCACATTTTTTGCATTCTGCTAGTTGATGCTAGTTTTGCTTTTTGCAGGAGATTCACCGAGGCTTGGTAGTCAATAGAATGACTGCTGAAGTTCCTAATGATGAACGGCCTTCGTCAATCAAATTTCAAGAAATGCCGTCACACCCACCTGCTGGACCCGATAATATTCCGGGAGTACAACAATTCCAGAATGCATCCAGACCTTTAGATTCGCATGGTTCAGGACGCATGGCCATGAAACCTTCCGTCGCTGAAACTGTTCGGGCAATTTTTGCATCTTTTATTTGGCACGAGGTAAGAGCAAGAAAGGAAACCGATGTTTCCTCTTGAAGATATCCCTTTACAACATGTTGACATGTGCTGGAAGTACGAGTAAATGATCAATTTCCAACGTATCCTAATTTTGCGTGGACTAAACGGGACAATGCGATAATTTAAAAGTGTCCAGAATTCCATTTTTAGCAGATTTTTTGGGTTTCCAAGGTAACCTCGTGCATTTTTTTCCTCAGGGCCTTGTTCACGATGCTATGGCTTGTGCGTCTTTTCTAAAATTTCACCCGTCGCTGAGCAAATCTTCTAAATATTCGAGGAAAGAGGCATCTGTGGATCGAAACGTGAAGCGCAGAATCCGTGTGTCCCGCACGAAGGAAGAAAAAGCGCGTTTACGTCATTCAATTGAAGTAACAAGTGCTCTGCGTCGAGCGGGTTACAAAAACAATGGAGAAGACATTTTGCTTCAGTTGGCCTCACACTGGAATGCCAATAAGAAAGTGGCAGATGTTGTAGAACCTTCTATGGAAGAATTATTGGACGAGCCGCCGGATACCCCTGTAGTTCTTGGTGATCTTGTTGCTGTCTGGGAACGACTAGCTGTTTCGACTTCGGAAGTTATTTCGGATCAAGTTGTGCTTCCCGATTTGGTATCTTCTGAGTCAACAGCGACTCGTGTCGGTGGTAATGCCTCTTCGTGTCCACTTTGCGGAGCACGCGTGTCAAGCTTGGCGTTGCACATGCGGAAAACCCATCCTGGTTGCGGCCGCCCAGCCGCGAACAGAGTTTACAAATCTGAAGAAATTTCGGTGAAATGGCCTAGTGGACTTTGTGGTGACACCGGGATGATGCGGGCTTCCGCAGGTGACTGGTATTTACTGTGTCAATCATGCAGGGCCGGGTACTTGATGATTTACCAGGCCAAGCGTGGCACTCAATTGCTTTCTCCCATGTCGCACACGGTCGGCACCGAGAAGCACAGATATACTCTGAGAAACGCGTTGTTCTTGTTGAAGCTGAACAGCGCAGCTGATGAATCAACTGTATCGCGAGAAGACCATGAGCCCTGCTTGATCTCTCAGGATCATTCCTTTTCCAAGGGTTTTAGCTGGGACGCCGTATTTGGAGGGAATTCAAGGCTAGATAATGACGAGGAAAGGTACGCATTCATTGAATTTCCAAAACCTTCCCTCCATCTTCTGTGATGTGAAATGTTTTCGAAAAATTTCAACGTTTTTCGAGAAGCCTTTCTGTTCCGTAATGCTGCAATTCATAATTTTTATCTTCAGTTGGATATACGAGACAGCGTCGTTGAACAAAATCAACCTGACACCCTCACTGCAGAAGTCTTCATCCGTCTTACGTCGGCGGAATGAAGCTGTACCCAATTCTTCGGTAAGACGTTTTGAAGTCACTTCTAGCGAGCGTGTTTGATGATCCAAAGCGAGCGTGTTTGATGATGCAAATTATTGCTTATTTTTTGACAGCCTGTTTTGGCCAGAAAGCGAATCAACAGCACCGGCGAAGCGTTTGGTATGTTCCTGAGCGCGTATGTTTCATCAGATTTTTCTTTCTTTTAATATTCTATGTTTTCAGCCATTCACGAACATGGGTCAATGCTCAATGCGCCAAGTAAACATTTGAGCCGAGTAGTAGCTTCATTATCTTCCGAAGATTTCGGTGGTGAAGTGCTCGAGTTTGTTTCACATTATCACGATTTGGATGCTCTGCAGAATGCCATGAAGCAGTCTGTTGACCGAGCCACTTTTCGTGCCTATGGATTGCAGGTGAGAAATGACGTCGATAACGTTGTATTTGACTTTAATTTTTCTTTCATTTATGCCTCAGACTTTGGAATGGTTCCTGCGAAATGTTACGCAATCCACCTGCGTGCATGAATTATTATGGTTTCTGGTGAAAAGCTTCACTGTTGCCCAACCACACCCAAAACTGAAAGAAGCCTCCGTTCATGCGGAGAATCCGAAAACGAATGTAGCCTTTGGGAATGATCCAGCAAAAGGAGTCGTCCTGCGTTCCGATGGAGGAAATTTTCTTTATCCTGAAAGTCCCGTTTATCCAGATGAATTCATGGTTGGAGGTGATGAACCTAGATTTCAGCGCGTAATGCCACTTCGAAGCGACAGATCCAAAGTCGATTACCGTAGACATGATGATGAACAACCGTCTTTTAGACGTTCGGTTTCGCGAAGACAACTGCCTGAATCCACGCGTACTCCCCCGAAACCGGTCAGTATCGAGTCCACGTCGAATTGTTTAAATGCCAAGTTTTTAAAGCATGCATGTATTTGAGTCTGTTCGACTTGCTTCCCGGAACAGGACAATCTCTTGGATCATCCCCTGTCAGATTTGCACTTCGTTGCTAGGAATCCACTACCGAAGAAAGCTTTTCATTTGCTCATGCAAACCATTGCTGACCTGATGCCTCGTTTGCCAACAAATGCCTTCGAGCTGCAGACAATATCTGTGAAATGCTGGGGTTTCAAATTTCTTCCCTCCGATCAGCGATTTCTGCACAGGTGAGATCATGCCAAAATAGAAGTGCGAGTTGCGTAGCACCAACATTATTCACTTCTTTTTTGCCAGGTGTCGGGTTTTCAATCACATATCTCGAATCCTCTCAAGATATGAGGACAGTTTTTCTAAAAAAGATGTGGAAGAACCGTTTAAAATTCGAGGTAATGGACGAAAAGGGGGATGCTTTGTTGGTCAGTTCGTCGACCTCACAAGCGAGTGCCTGATAACACCAGCAACGGGATCGATGCTGGGCGGTAATATGACGGACGGTTCTACGGAAACCTTTTGGGAGAGTGAAGGTGAAGATCGAACGCGTTCACGAGAAATTGTCGTTGAACTGCGACGAAAGGATGTCAACATGCGTTCCATCATTCCTCATTTACTTGCTGTCCATATTGACAACGTTCGAGATCTTACGGTTAGTTCACATTTTTTGTATTTGATTTATTACAGTATTAATATTTTTGCGTCAGCGCTGATAGGATGCATCAATTTAAAATGGGAAGGAAGCGAGATTTAGGCTCTTGGATGAGAAAGTACATTTTTTCAACAAAATTATTTTCTTAATGCGCGTAGAAAAAGGCGTGTCATGTTAGCGAAACCTATTGGAAAGGATCAAACAACTCGTGGACGTCATCTCGCCTCACGCGAGAAAATATTGAGTCATATTCGTTATGTTGTGTAAATCCTTGCAAAATTATAAAATTCTATGGAAATTTTCGAATTTTCTTTTCAAGACGTTTTTTCTACGGGGTGCATAATGTTGAGTAAACGAGCAAGGATTCTGTCGTTGACTATCTCGCAATGTCAGTCGATGAATTATCGGATTAATCTGATTTTTTAATTGCAGTGCAAAACTGGACTGGTGGCTTTCAAATGTGGACGATCAATTGAACAGTTGAACTGTTCAAAAGTAGAGCAGTTACCCAGTCGGTTTACCGGCTGGGTAACTTTATGGATCAAAGATTGGGAACACAGCGTTTTCAAAATTTGCCTTATGGGACCGGATAGTGCTGTCCGTGTCAGACAGATCCGGCTTATTGGCAACTGGAATGATGACTCCAGCAAATTTTCTGTCGAAAGTTGGTCGTTCTGGCGTTCGGGCGGAGACATGGCGAGCAAGTGTCCTGCGGTCACTATAAAACAAGGCATATGCGAAGCTGAAACTTTGCGAGTTTTCCGGCAGCTTGTTTCACAGGTACGTGTTTTATTTTTTTTAACGCGAAACAATATTTGAGGGTTAGAGGCTTGCACTTTTTTATTCTTCTCAGATTTTCGAGGAGCTGCTTGTCGAGGAGCCGTCATCAAGCATGACTTTATCAGAGGAACTTCTGAATACATCATTTGACGGTGTAAATCGTGTTCGATGTCGAAGCATCCTCGGCGAACATGTGTCCAATGTCGGAGAAGACGAACGGCACGAATTGAAGGAACACATGGTTGGAATACTGTTCAGTCGGGAAGGCCTTAGTGATTTACAGAAGCAAGTAGTTGACCACATCCTCCAAGGACTCCGTGCGGAAACCTCCAAATTTCGCGATCGTTCGAAAAAGGATTCGGAATTTGGGACGGGGGATGATTACTGCTTTGAACTCATGTCGATGCTGTTGGCGTTGAGCGGAAGCAGAGTTGGGCAAAAGTGTCTTGGTGCGAAGGAAAACCTCCTGGTTGATGTTTTCTGCTTACTGCATATGGGTTCCGATCGTGTTCAGCGACAGGTAAATATCTTCGATCTGCTGAAATCACGCCGGTTCCGTGTATGGTCATTGTTAAAATACTGTACATAGTTACATTTTGGTACAGTAATTTCCTGCCCTGTTTTTAATCCCTGCCAGTGGCAGTTGACTATGATCTGTGAAAGCAAGAATCTTTTCTTTCCGTTGATTTGTACGCAATTGGAGCTTGTGATCCTATTTGAAAAATAATTCCTCATTTGAGATTAATTAGTAATTTATTTGAAAACTTCATTTCAGGTCGTTCTTTTGCTGAAAAGAATTTTCGCCAGCATCGAACCGAGCTTTCTTGCTAGATCCTTGGGTATAGCGGATCTACCGCCCACAGACTACTGCGGGAGTTTCACGTCTTCGGATGATGAACTGCTGTCGAACACGTTTACCCACAGGTTCGTTTCGTCATCATTGTAAATGGCCTTAAAATACTAACCTTAGCGTCCTTGGTTAGGTATGGACTGCTTGATGGCATGCTTAGTTCTGTGGCGAAAGGCTTGCAAATCAGAAAACGCGTTCGTCGTGGAAATCAAGAGGGAAACATAAAATCTTCAAAAACTGAAATTTTGAATGTTAATGCCTGCTTGTTTGAACCCGCGATTGACTCGTCCCAACTGCCACCGGAAGAACTCGAGCACGTTCAGAAAACTCAGGAATGCTGGCTGCGTGGCAGAACCTCGCCGAAAATCGCGAAAGCGATCATTCAGTTGCTGAAGGATCTTAGTTCCGTAAGTAAAATCGTATTGTCGAAACTTATACTTTTCTGAAATATATCCGATGATGGGATTCTAGGGATCTCTCGGAAGCGTGTGGCAAGATGTTACGAGGGCTGCCGTAGCTGAGAAAATTTGTCGCATGGCAAACCAGTGTCTAGGTTCTACCGTTGTTTTCAACGCATTGATGAATTGTAACCCCTCATTGTGTCTTGCTGTTGCTGCCCTTTGTGTGCTCAGCTCTGATCATGTTGAACGTCTCTCCTGTTCACATTCCATCCGGCGGTTAAATCATCCAGATCAACCGGTTGACGATGAAACAGTGAGCCATCCCACTTCGTAAATTGAATCAGTTTTTGAAGATACTGTATATGAATCCCTTCCAGGCTATGTGTGATAACCATGAAGATGGGTGTACGTTGGCCGTCGTTCGTTGTACGAACTGCGAACTGTTCCTATGTCTTGATTGTGACAAGGTGTTGCACCTACCTCAACGAATGAGAAATCATAGCCGACAGGTTAGTTGAGAATGGGTTTGGGATGTTTTCCGAATAATTTTATTATGAAACAAAGTGTGTGGAAATTAGTGAAGTTAGAAAGAATGAGCATTTTTGACACATGCAGAATGTCCAATTTCAATAATGAAAAAAAATATATTGTGCGTCAGGTGATTCTCAAATATTTTTTGAAATACGGATTTCGTGTTTCTACAGATCATTCGCGATGACCAAGAGGGAATGAAAGTTGATTTGCACGAAGGTTGTGGCAGAGTGAAGCTAAGTTCACTAACAATGTTGGCCGATCCAGCAACTCTTCAGGCGATGGTCGAATTCCGACCTGGTCTGGAGGAGAAAAAAGTCATCACCGGCTCCAGCTTGACTGTTTCATTGAAAGGGAGTTTCTGTCGATTTTGTGGCTCTCAGATAACAAGTGATTTACCTGAGAGATTTGACGCACCTTTCGATGTTTGTGAAGATTCCGAATGCAAAGTAAGATTTCTATTGATTTCAGAATTCAAAATGAAACATGCTTTCCTAATCGCAGGCACATGCTGACAATGCCTGTGGAAAGATGCTGTCGTGTGGGCACATATGTTGTGGAATTCGCAACGAAGCCCTTTGCTTGCCATGCTTGAATCCGTCATGCGTGCGTTTAGGACGACAAGGTCATGCTAGGGGAGTTGTTGGGTTGGGAGAAGAACCTTTAAAACAAGATGGAGATGATATGTGCATGGTGTGTTTTGCTGACGCTCTCAGCAGCGCCCCTGTGATCAGGCTTACGGAATGTGGGCATCTATTCCATCTGCATTGTTGTCAACGAGTATTGGAAGCACGTTGGCCTGGACCGAGGATTGCTTTCGGGTTTAGACTATGCCCGATCTGCAAAACGAAAATGGAGCATCCGGCCCTTGCGGATTTGCTGGAGCCAATTCGGACACTTTTTGATGATGTTCAACGCAAGGCTTTGATGCGTCTTCGTTATGAAGGCTTGGACAAGTGAGGATTTATAATTTTTTGTGGAGGTTCCTTGGAAATTGGGCAAGTCATTGCCAAATATTCATCATAAGCAGGTGAAACCTGGTGGTACATTTAGCTACTTATTGTGAAATCAATCAAATCACTAAGAAAAAGCATCCGAATAAAATTAAATGAATGTGACCTACAAATTGTGAGCGCTGTGGGATCTATGCATCCGAATAAAATTGAATGAATATGACCTATAAATTGAAAGCGCTGTGGGATTTCTGTGATCATCAGGAAGCGTGGGGTGTCGTAATCCCAATTATAATTTTTGAAAGATCCTTTCACGTGGTTTTGCTTTTTTCCGAAATTTTGCTTCAACTGCTCGAGAAGTTCTCAACTGTCCACTGTTGACAGCTGCTTTTACGGAAATTACATTTTCCTCATCAGTCGACTGTTTTAGCTCCCTTCATGTTGAAGTTATGAAAACAGTAATCCCTCACAATCTGCAAAGCCAGCTGACAGAATTTCAATGATGTAAAACGGTTAAGGAATATGTTTAATTATTTCGTTATCGTGGTTCAACAAAGCCACGGGCCAAGTACTTCGTAGTGTTAATTTTTATGCAAGTGGTCCTTGCACACTCCGATGCTTCACAAATTCTATTCTCCTTCCAGTGTTTCTAGTACTTTTTTCTGCGAAGAATGCGGTGATTTTTTATTTAAAAAAGAAGTTGCGGAAAATTAACCGCCTCCTCAGTCTTCACTGACGGTTTGAGGGCGACTGGCGAGAACTTATAGGAGATCCTCTCGTTTTTTGGGAGAGACTGCTGCACATTTTTCACCGCTCGCCGTTTTTGTTCATTGATGCGATTTGCTTTTTCTTGAAGGTGTGAGTCGATAACTGCTCCGGGAGGAAGGTTTTTCGACGATCCGTCAGGCTTTGCGATGGACCGCTATGCTTACTATGTGTGCTTCAAGTGCGATAAAGCGTACTTCGGCGGAGAAGCTCGTTGCGAAGTTGGTGCCGTAACGCCGGATAGTTACGACCCAAAGGAATTATTGTGTGGCGCCTGCAGTGATGTTTCGATGGCACAAATGTGCCCCAAACACTGCACCGATTACCTCGAATACAAGTGTCGGTATTGCTGTTCGGTCGCCGTGTTTTTCTGCTTCGGAACGACGCATTTCTGTAACGCTTGTCATGCAGACTTCCAACGTATCACTGCCATGTCTAAGGAAGATTTACCTCATTGTCCAGTTGGTGAGTATACTTCTCATACCCAGGAGACTTCAATTTTCAGAACAAGAGATCTACTCTTCATTGCACAGGACCGGGCTCAATCCAGTTGGACGATGATGAGTGCCCTTTACATACTCAGCACCCTCCAACGGGAGAAGAGTTCGCTCTGGGGTGTGGTGTTTGCAGAAAGGCGAACACGTTTTGACGACTTGAGTGGACCAACTCAGTGCAAACATTTATATAAGTCAGGTCTCGTATGAGTGTTTTCCGTGTCTTTTTATATTGTAATTTTTCCAAGTTTCGGCGGAGAAATCGCCGTTGTAAAAGTGGCGCTTTTTCTTGCGCCCTCTCGAATCCCAGAGGGTTGAAGTGAGTATTAGTTTCATCGCTTGAAATATTTGGTCAGTCTTAGTAATAACATTTCTAGTCTCTGTAAGCTTTGACGTACCATTCGTGAGAGTTCCGTGTGTCGAAGTCGAGTCGCGTGCTGACGGGTTATTCGTACAGTGTGATATCCGTGGAGGGATGAGCGGAAAAGTCGTGGAGTCGTTTACCAGGGAAAAGCTGGCGATTTTTAATTTTAAGAGAATGTATGACGATTTTTCTGTGAATCCTTGGTTCAATTTTGCTCTTGCTGGGAAATCTCCGTGTTCAGACTGTGTTAGAAGCGTTATGTGGGGGGGCGAAAAAAGTTGCAGGGAATGTGAATTGCCCTAGTCAAAATTCTTGACGTTGATCTCGGATGAATATGCGTTGGTTCGAAGAAAGTAAACGCGATGTTCGTGAATTGTATGCCCTTGCGGAGCAAATAGTGAAGGATAAAACGTGTCCTCCGGCGAGGCGAGGGGACGTGCTGCATGCCAGCATCCATGTGCTTTCCAGCAATTGAGAGTTGCTGAAGTCAATGATTTTCATTCCAAGATCATTCTTTTGTGCCTCATGCGAGTAGTGGACTTATATGCCCTCATGACTTTTGCACATTTTTCAAGGAAAAAGGAGTTGTGCTGCATCGATCAGTGCGTTCAAATGTCGTCTTATGCATGTTGAGTTTGTCGCTTCGGGAAAGTTTCTCCGGTTCACAATCGACCATGAATTCCGAATCAACAATGCCGGAGGACACAACGTGTGATGAATGTGGGAAATATTTTAATGCCAAGGAGTTGCTGTATGACCACATGGATTTAGAGCATCGGGTAATCTGTCCGATTTGTGGAACGCGTGCGAGAGATTTAACTGTGGCATGCGATAATTGTGAAATGTGAGTAAATCACGGGCAAGACTCGCGTGGTTTTTTGACGATGGTTGATTTTTCCAGATGGCATCACATGGAATGCGTTGGCATTCACCCTATGGAAGCACCTGCAGAGAGTGACGAATGGTTTTGTCCAAAATGCCGTCCATCGAATGGTTAGTTAACTCTTTGTATGCTTGTTTAAACGCTTGGAATACTGTACTTTAAAATTTTCTAGTGGGACGACCGGAAGTGAAACCGCCTAGTAAAAGTCCTGTAAAACGCAAGGGCAAAGGATCGTCGCGAGCCAGCTCGCCCGGAGTTGCACACAGAAAATCACCCGCTAATCGAAATTCTTCGAAGAAGCTTATTGAGACAAAATTGTGAGCAAATGGCGTTGCATTTTTTCCTCCTGAATTTAGTAACATGCAGATGATTGCTTTGAAGGGGGAAAACTGCTGTTCGGAATATTCGGGAAGCCAAGAAGAATCTTAGAGAAGTTTTCGCAGGATCTTATCAGTGCTTACTCTGCCCTGAAAATTCTTCTGGATCTTTGCAAACCTTGAAAGCTTCCGAAGAGCACCTTGAAAAACTACATTGGGACCTTCGTTTCGAGGTATTTTTCCAATGCTGCTTACCATTCTACAAATCCATTTCAACCTCCTGTCCTCCCAGTTTTTAGAGCCCGGATGCAGCTGCATAATAAATCTTCCATGCTACTTGAAGTGTTTCACTTGGCTTAAGGACGCTGAAGTACACTATCATTGTCCTGCGTGCGATATTGCAAACACCAATGCTGAATCGCATGTTATTCATATGTTGCAAAAACATGAATATTCGCTTGTTCATGCTCAGGATTTTGATAAACTCCTGGCGGCATGTGAAAATGCCACTCAGGATATGCTGAACGCTCAGGCAACCGTAGAGGTATTTAGATTCGTCTTTTGAATTCAAAATAAGCGACGTGCTTATGATTTTTAAATTTTTTTTATACCGACTATGTTCAATTTGAGGATTGCATTTTTTAGGTTCAGGAAAGCAAAGACACACTTTCAGAGGAACACTTCAACAGTTTGATTGAGATGGACGTCGAAAAGAAATATCACTGTAAACTGTGTCCTCCATCCTCAGTGCTTCCAACAAGGAAAGCTGCAGAAATGCATCTAACGAATCTCCATATGTCTAGTCAGCTGTTCATTGCCTCACGTTGGGTTTGCTTGCCGTGTTTTATGGATTGTGGCCCTCCGTTGCATTATCATTGCCCTCTGTGTGAGAAAACTGGCAAAAGCAAAGAAGAACTTCTGATGCATGCTGAAATACACCAAGAGTATCGTGACGCTGCTAGAGAGCTGAAAGTCGCTTCACCATCAAAACTGAGAAGTCCGAAGAAGTCTCCCGTCACAAAGAATGTTGATAAAAAGAAAAAATACCCTGTGATGGCGGGGTTGAATGTGCAGTTCAATGCGTCGAAAACATCCATCATTGTTGATCGCTTGGCCGAGGCGGATCCATCTGCATTGGAAAACTTCTTCAATGGCATAGTCAAGTTCTCTGGTGGAAAATATGTTTGCAAATTGTGTCCTGTGCCAGATGATCTTAATGTTGCTGGTTCTTTGCCCTTCCTCAAGCGGGAAACTGCGCTGGAACACTTTCTTAAGGCTCACTTCAGGTAATTCTTCATTTTTTACTACTGCTTCTTCTCTATTCATAATAGATTTATATTTCTTTGTGGTTGAACTGATCTCAGATGAAAATAAAATTCTATCTTCAGTTCTTTCAAACTACGTTTAAGAGTTTGCCATCGAAATTAATTTTTCAATATGACAGAAATGTGTTTGTGAGACCTTGTTTTCTCCAAAAGTAGTCGTTATTCGTGACAATAAGTGAGCAATGTTTTCCTTACAGATTCCGCATAGCTATGGGAGACACTGGAAATTGTTTGCGGTGTCTAAGGCTCTGTAAAAGAGTTACTGATGACCAGGGTTCAGGTCATTATCACTGTCCCTTATGTCAGAAATTATTACCTAGCCAGGACACGTTCGTTTCCCACGCCGCTGAGCACATGCGAACAAAAATGAGCATGGAGAAGCCTAATGAAACCTTCCCTTTGACGTGGAATGTTTCTCCAATGGATTCGATGATGGAAAAGGTGCCTGTAGCTAAGCAACCGGTGCATAAATCCGTAGAAAGTCGCCTGACCATGGCTGCTCCTACAGGTGGGATAGCTTATATGTAACTTATTGTACGATTTTCTTACTAAAATATTTTCAAGTTGACAACTTCTGAGAATCGGCTCTAAAGCGATAATTCTGCTCACAAAACATTGATTCCTGTATCTGGCAGATCTGTCAAGATACATATCTTCTGTAACGAAAGCCCCTCATAACAAACGATATTTTTTATTCCAAATGTTCCGGTAATTTTGAAGAATTCACCTTGATCCCTTCTGGCACTAACTTTATGAATTCTGCGTTGGGATTTTTTTTCATGCTTATAGGAACCCTCGAGGTTGTGGTTGAATTGTTCTTTTTTTTCTTCGTCGTACTGTATATATATTTCTCTTTCAGCAAAAGCAGGCACAAGTGGTTTCCGATCCTCCAGAATGAGCAGACTTCCCGTGGTTGCGAATTCGATGGTTGAACCAATGATCACGAAGCGCGGACGAGTAACCAAGCCAAAAGCGATGGATGATTCCATGTACTCAAATGCTGTTCGACGAATACATTCACCGGCTCGGTCAGAACAGTCCCAGCCTTGTGAAAAACTGCCCTCCGCGTCTTTGAAAAGCACAACTGCCGTTATTCAGAGTCGCGGAAATGAACTTTCGAGAGCTATGAAAACTTGGGTAAAAGGGCCGGCGATGCAGACAAAAGACATTGAGAAGCTGGTCGTTAAAAACAGTCGGGGGTTCTTCCTTTGTGCTCTTTGTCCTATTTCACCCTTCAGAGCTCACAGGACTGCGATGGAACACGTACAGACAATTCATTGTGGCTGCCAAGTCAAAATTGGCGAGAGGCGAGTGGAATATTTTTCCGTGATTTTGCTACGAATTTTATTCTGCCCTGCATGTTGCTCCTTATGTATTCGTTAACGCAGCAGTACTTGAAACGCTAGTCCTGATTTTCAATTAATTGTCATTCCAGATGGATAGTGCTGTCGTGTGGGTCCAACTGTGCCGATACGAAAGGTCAAATGCACTATAATTGTCCCGTTTGTCACATTATAACAGTTGCCGAAGAAGCTTTCCGAGACCATTGTTTGTTGCATGAATCTTCCGGAAAACAAGGTGTAGCGACAAAGCAGTCTTCTAGCATTGCGAAAGATGAATTGACAGAATCTTGCTTGAAGCTGAGCACCTTGATAACCATCAGCAACAGCATGGGGAACAAACTGGTTCATCCACTCAAAGATGTCTTGCTAAAATGCAAGTTGTGCGGATTTCCACCTGCCGACAAAGACTCTGTTTTGCAGCATCTGAGCTCATCCCATTTGGGTGATTGCATCTGTTTAGACGAGCAGCATTTGCACCCATGCAATCTTTTCTGCGTTCCCGGATTGTTCGTTACTCCAGCGCATTTCGATTGTCTCTTGTGCCCACGGCTCATTACTTGTGGTGATCATGAAGCAACGCGTATTGCGTCCAATTGTTTCATGATGCATCTTGACGACGTGCATGGCACTTGTGGGTCACGAGTGGCAGCGAATCAAAACAAATTTCAAATAAAAAATGACTTGAATGTCGGGCCGGAGAAATTTCTGTGCGTTGCGGTTTCAACACAGAATGGGACGGATATCGGTTTCGAAGAACTAAGTGTTTTACTTTTACCGCATGGCGCCTTTGACGACACTCGAGCATTGCACGAATTTATCAATTTACCCATGGATTTTGCTAACGAATTCGAGGCGAGTGCGAAAGATGCCTTCTTGCTTGGTGCTGTGTGTCGATTCCTAGACAGCCACAACCAATGCGTGTTGTGCGGCAGACATAATGTGAAAAGGGCCGATTTCGTTGACCACTGGAAGGAAGTTCATCTTAACAATGCCGTGGATGTCAAAGTTCCGGGAAAACGTGGCTTTGTCCTTGTTGTCTTTGCGGAACAGCGGATATTCCGCACTTCGTCTGTCCGATTTGCTCGGCAGTCGTTGAGACAAGAGAAATTTTCGCTTGTCACATGGAAAAGCACGAGAAAGCGCAAGATAACGCTGGTCTGACCAATGGCGAAGACCAAACTTCGAGTGACTACGACAAGGCGGCCGTAGAACACGAAAGTTCAAAACAGTATGCCAATATTTTAGCTTCTTGCAGGGGTTTGAAAGTAGTAAAGATAATGCTGGTCTGACCGATGGCGAAGACCAAACTTCGAGTGACTACGACAAGGCGGCCGTAGAACACGAAAGTTCAAAACAGTATGCCAATATTTTAGCTTCTTGCAGGGGTTTGAAAGTAGTTGACACATCTGCTTTGGAAGAATGTTCGAGTGTGAGCTGTCCCTTGAATAATGAGCATTTTCATTGCCCACTCTGCAAGTGTTAGGACGCGTATTTGGCTGATTTTGGCGGGATAGGAGTGCATATTTATGCCTGCCCGGGTGCGTCGCTGGATTATGAGTTGAACTGTCGCAAGCTACTAAAAAATGTCTACAATGAAATCCGCTGTCAGTTGTGCAGTGAGAGGGATATGACTTGTTGGAGTTTGAATGAGGAACATGTGGGATGTGGCGTTGACACACGTTTCAGAGATGCATCTTAAGAAAGGTGAGCAAACTGTTCACGGTTTTTGCGCAAAATAACTTCATATCCTGCCGACATACCGGGAAATATTTGCAAAACCGTTAAGTAGCGACGAAACAGTTGGCTCATAAAAGTTCCGGAAAGAACGACGTGGTGGCTGTTCTGTAAGCTGATGATTATGAATTGAGTAGAAATCATTCGAGTTCGAGCAGACGTCTTTTTTTTCTCGATCCAACATTATACCAGCAAAAATCCCTCGCGTTCGCGTATTTTCGCGTGTTCAGTTACAAACCAAGCCACGTGCTGCATCATGTGGCCAGCACGCATCCGGAGATTCGCGAAGCATTACCGTGCGAAATCGCGACAATGCTCAGTTCGGAATTGTGGCACGAGGAAGCTAATGTTGCTCCATTTTTTCTTGGCAATTTTTCACCTGTTTTGATACTGAAAATCCTAGTTGATCACGCAATTGCTTCTCCGCTGTTCAACACGAAATTCTGATCGTGGCTGCTGTTCAGTTGGCAATTCAAAAATTTGGCACATACATTTTGTTTTTATGACTCTTTTTTTAATTTGAGTCCATTTCGAATTTAGAGGAGGTTTTGCAAATTGAAAGACAAACGTTTTCTGTAGAAATTCGACCAGATTGACACATCGGTACAAGCGCGTACCGAGAGTGATCCGACGAAATTTGCAGTCAGAAAACGTTTTTGTTATTGCCGTTATTTAAAAATAAAGCAAACTCCTGTTTTCTCGATTGACATCACTGAATACTTTATTCAACCATCAGGAGCGTGAAAGAGGAATTATTCATCTTCCCTTGCACGCATCTCAACAACGTTCAGAAAATACTGCACTGAACGGGATGAAATTTGTGTGACAAGAGAATTACTCGACGAGCGACGGACTCTTTTAAAATGTACTTTAGTAATGATTTGTTTCCACCGAATGCTTGGTAACATAGTTCATTTTTTCTCAACGAATGTCACTGATTCTGAAGAATAATCGAGGTTCGATGACGTATACCTTTTCTTTGATCGGTGCGCAGAATTTGCGGTCAAAGATGGCAAACTGAAATGACTTTCTTTCACAGAGGATTTAATGGACTGGTGAGGTAACTTTGCCAAGGAATGATTTTTTTTAACCCGCAGGTCGACTGCATAAAAAAAGCACCGATTGAATCCTTCACTGAAAGCTCTGGTAGCGATTCCGAAACAAAACGATCTGTATTACAAAATGAGGGACTTTCTTAACTCTTTCTCAAAACCGGTTGCCTGGTACCATTTACCAGTGACTTGTTCATTCACCGTATGATCTCGTCCAAAATGCCACATTCTCTTTTGATCGACCGTCGACACGGAAAAAAATTGTATGTACGATTCCCTCAAAACGGCTTTTTGTTTTTCTCTCGGGCTTGAACCGAAATCACCATATCGTGTCAACAAAACATTCTTTAACAACATTTTACACATAGATCCATGTAATGCAAACGCATCATTAGCAGCGAAAAAATACTGTACGTAACCGAACAAACTTTGTTCGGTCCTCACGAGTCTCCTCAACAGACCATACGAGAAACTTGCATTCTAGCAGCACCGTCTAAGCCTGAGCATCACTGTTGCGACTGATGTTTCGGATGTTTAGGTAGATGTCGCTTGGAATGCAGAGCAAGGTGATCGGAACGCGCGAAGGACCGTTGACACACTGCGCACGTGAATGGCTTCGCACCCGTGTGCTTCCGATAATGCCGCGTCAACTCGTCCGACCGCGCGAATCTCCACTGGCAGTCCGTCCACTGGCACTGGTATGGCTTCTCACCTGGAACGAAACATATTTTAGAAAGTGAGTGCAAGGATTGCGATCGAGACGTGGAAGAATAATGAGCAGCAAGAATCGTGTGAAAAACGGTTCCAACGTCATGTTGTGTCATTGCTTTGAATCCTGCGGGTGCATGGCAAAGATTTATCTAAGTCTGGAAATTCTGAATCAGTTTGGGACATTGTAATACAGAACTATACAAAGAACATCTTATGTTCAATTGTCATTTTGCCAAGGATTTTCTTCTCTTGCATCTGTAATTTGAGTTATTGAGTAACTTTCCACACGACATTGACATTTTGTCCAAACAGTTGAAATCTGCACTGAATAAGACTGAAAACGCAATTTTAGAATATCAGAACTACTGTTCTTACCTTGAGGATAATTTCTTTTGAACCAAGAACCTTTTCATTGCAAAGATTTTTCGATCACATAACAGTATTTGAAATATCTGGTCACAAATTTATTCAATACTACATAATTACGCATAACTTGCATGCGAAGGGCTCACATTAATATGGATAACTTTTGTCAGTTTTTCCCATTCCAACCTGCTATTTTTGAACAAACAGTACCTTAAAATTGTGCTCAGCATTTAATCGAACATCTAAATAAAGGAAATCATATAAAGCAAAATGGCTGACGAACCTAACATGTTTTAAGAGGTAAATTATATTAGTTTACTGTAAAACAGTACATATACTGCACTTGAGAATGTAAAAGCAAGTTAACTTTTCGTGATTCATCGGTAGGACTGCATGTTCGAGTTTTGAAGGTCCAATAATTCATTCCTGCATCATTTTCGAATATACGAAGATGATATTGGAGACTTGTGTGGAGCATACTCGTGAACGGAATCATGATCTTATCAACTAAAATTTTTTGGCATAGTGCACATTGTGGAATCTTTCAAAAACAAAAAGTCTGTTCAAGAAACCAATTAGAGTATCATGAATTATGCGTCCACTGTGGGATCGTTCAAGTACAGATTGAATTGGATAAAAAAGGGGTTACCCTGTATTTTCAAGAACCATCAAAACTCAAGGCTACCGAAAAAAGGACATATTTTTATACGGACATTCCTGATACCTGCGCGGGGATTCGACGAGAGGAAAAATATTTTGGAAAAGGCGGGTGTAAAAAAAAAAACAAAATTAGGAACATTTCCTGCGAAACCCATGCAAAGTCGGTGGAAAAATTGAATAGCTGAATCCGTTAGAGTTACCGAAAGACCGAAAAGGAAAATTATATAAGAAATAGCGGTGGTTTTCTATCTTTCTCTCTCGTTTTATCTTTCTCTCTAATTTTCTCGTCTTTGAGGAGAAGAAAAAATAAAAAACTTGCAGTCCAGATAAAAATCCGAACGTGATCTTCATCCAGTTCACGGACACTGCAACGCACAAAGCTCGGCCTTCGCGCGCATTCCAGAGAACCAAGAAAAAATAAACACCCTGTGTGTGTGTGTGTGTGTGGTTCCCATTCAAACAATGCACAGGAATATACAGACCAACTCTGGTTGGTTCCTGTGTGGCTAAAATAAAAATAAAAAGAGATTTCATCGCCGCTTTTGAAGTTGGGGAGAGAAAATCGACTCGGACTGCTTTGATTGTTTGCGGTGACATGGAACGATATAAAATTTCATTGTTCCTTCAGCGTTCGCGCGGAGAAAACTGCAATTCTTATCTGACACGTATCGTCTTTCGATTCCAATGAAGTCATTGCATAACGATGGTTTCCTGACCATAAGTGAGAGATATATACGCTGAAAGCAGCACGAGAATATCATCACCGCACACGACTTTCTTATGCAATAAATTCTCTTACTCTTCCGTGTTCCAACTGTATTATTGTCACATGCGTTTAGTTTTAAGGTGAAAAAAAATAGGTTGAAAAAATAAATGTTCGAAAATACTGAAAAGACGCTTAAGAAATCTCACCTGTGTGAATCCGTTGATGAGCCTTCAGATGAGAACTTTTGGTGTAGACTTTGGTGCAACCTGGAACAAAATGTAAAAATAAAAATAAAATGGAATGAAAATCCTCATTGTCAATCTAATAAACACAGTTCTGCATGAAATATTTCAATTTTCAAGGCTGAGCGAAATGCGTTCTGTATACAGTACAATCGAAAACCCGTTACTTTTTACAAAAGCAATCCCCTTTCACGCGGTAAACAATAAATCAACAGTAAAGTGGAAACGTGCGTTGATCTTCCACTGGATTTTCGCGCTTGAAATCCACGGCTGCTGTGAAGAAATGTAAATTTTGTTCAAGAAAAACACACACACAAAATGAGAGCTTTTCATTCCTGCGAGAGACTTTTATTCAAAGCTTACGTTCCTTAATTACTACCCTCAGTAATGGGGCGATTCTCCGCATGAAACGCGTTTCAAGCTTCGTCAAAACGCTCACGCTGCGTCTCAACAATATATAACTCGTATTTTTGTTCTTCCATCCTCCCTTATTCATGCTGAGCCTCATCTCAGTTAACGAAGAAACCCGGGACGAATAAGAGAGAAAAAAAACTTCAAGATTTAGTTGAGACTCTTCTTTGAATACTTTTTTATTGACTGGCTCGATTTGATGAGGCGTTGACACAGAGGTCAGCACTTGAACTTCTATATATATATATACATATATATATATATACTGTATATATATAC